GTATTAATTTATCTCTAAACCCAGCATTTTAAATTCTCAGGAACGATCATTGCGGGAAAATTGTGGGCCGGGACTACGATTTTTGAACGATCGATGCGATAAAACGATAGTTCGAGGAACGATAGAAGCGGGAAAATGTAACATTATTTTATATGGGATGTATTCGGGACCGAACAAAACGGACGATGCATCCGGGAAAACGATAGTTCCGGGAACGATGGATAGAGGTTTCACTGTATTAATATAAATAAGATATTTACATTACATTATTTTCATCTGCCACTGTAGCTTATAATATATATTGCATATTCTCTCATATTCATCATAACAAAATTTAATTTAAATAGTTTTCTTTAGTTATTTTCATTTTAAGAAAACAACAGTTGTTATATTATAGATGTTCTTCATGTATTGAAGAAAGATATTATAAATAATTTACAGAGTAATAGTACTGACAATATTTCTTCTGGGTTCTGTAGATTCCAAGCTAACAGTTTTGTAAGACACTTCGCACCTGTAGTTTCTTGATAGAAATAGATTTAAGTGGCTACTGCTGGCATTGAGGTGTGGTTATCTTATGTCTTCTTGCTTTTATAAAATATCTCTTGATTTCCAGTAGAGGAAGATAATTTTGGCACTGACATAGTGGTATCCATCTTGAGAGCAATGCGGTATGGGTCAAAAGATGCACGCCAATTGTTCCCATGTCTCTTACGGTTGCATGGACTTCATACTCATTTGTCTGAACTGTTTCACAAAGAGGCAAGTCTGAGGAAATATTAATAATTTAGCTTTGATATTCATTATTCTAAACTGTTCTTTATTCAGAATAACTGTGGGTTGCTTGTAAACATGGACAAAGAGTTAGTTATGACAAATTGAAAGCCTAGTCCACAATGAACTGAAATATGTATTTTGTTGTCATTTGGTCTTTGCAGAATCTCCCTTTCATATGATGTGTATTAGTCCATATTTCTTCAGAATACATGATAGTTCACTTCTCTCTCTACTGCTCAAAGACAACATAGTACCATTTCTTTCCCAGTGACAACTGTTATAGGAGATTTAAAGTTGAGGCTTTTCAACAGTTTGTACATAATTGTTCTATTGAAACTAGGAAGTTTGGGATTATCGTTAAAAGCAGCCAGAGTTTTGTTAAACTGGTACTGAATTCCAGAAATTTGCATGAATTATTTTTCTTTGAATTGTTTTTTGATCAACTCATCATTGTCTTTTCTTTTGGTATACTTTTATTGAGTGATTTAAAGTAACTTATGGTTTTGTGTTTATATGCTACTTAGTATTAATATTTATGTGCTACTCTTATGACATACTGCAAATATATGCAACTTGGTTCGCTGTGTCCGATGTGTAGAAGTCAAAGTTGTCCTTAACATATGAATGTTTGATAATGGTTAAAGCAAATTGTGTGTTGTACATTCTTCTTGGAATTTCTTCTTCACTTCATGTCATATTAAGTACATTCTATTGCAGAGCACTGAAGTTCCAGTATGGATGTTCCTTGGCTGGGTGAACCAGTTGCTATCTTGTCTCGACACTGCCGTAGGCCCAGTACTCCACAGCTTGGTTCTGCGTCTAGCTGAGACATATCCTCAGGCCCTTATCTACGCTTTTAAACTGAGTGTGAAAAATTACAATCTTGGCAGTGGCCATGAAACCCTGAAGGCCCTTGCTGATCGGTAAGTGATAAAGGCAAATGTAGTAAGTAACAAAACCAGAGATTTAGTTGACAAATTTCTGATCCAGGAAACATTGCATATTACATAGTAGTAGGTATGTAATTGTGTGTTGGAATTATTTGTTCTGCGTGTATTTAAAAAAACAGGAATAATTACACAAAGATATGAGGTTGGTTCTTACAGTTCCAATAATGGATGGATCAACTGAAAATGTGAATTTGATTACACACCTCCACCCTCAAAGTATTATCCTTGGGGAAACTACATACTTTTATCCTCAGCTGTACATTTCTTGAAAGCACTGCTAGAAAACATTTTCCAGAATGCTGTTCAGAGCAGCTGTGATTATATCTTTCACCTTGTCCATGCCACTGAAGCGCTGTACCTTCAAATGAGATTTCACAATTCTAAAGAGATGAAAATCTGGTGGAGAAAATGTTCAAACCTGACCTTTATTCCATCATTAAAGCAACCAAACCTAGTTAAGATGTGGACATTATTATCCCATTCATTTATCACCTGGATATTAATCCAATTGAGTTGGTACGGAGCCGCATTAAGAAACATAACTTTAACTTGGTGACGTACCCCGGCTAGGCAAGAAAAAGTGAATTTGTGAACAAAGAGGAAAGTGTGTCATGGTGTAATCATAGCTGGAAGTGCAAGGAAGAATTTAATGTGATGGAGACCATAGTTTATGAAATATCAGAGGGCACTGTTATCAATGCAGGTGCTGCCAGTGAGATATGTGATAGTGATATTACTGCCATCTGTCGCTGGAATGGTAGAAATGAAGAAGAAATGAGAGTGCCCACGTGAATCAGAATTAGGGATGGCTGTTTGAGTATTGCTTACTTGTTTCATACAGTTTAATGTATTGACTGCTGCTGGTACTGTGTGACACAACTTAATGCATTAAAAATATGAGCCTAGTATTTGTACATTTTCTTTGTTGTATGTAGAAATATAATTTACAAATTGGTTTTCTGTTTCCTGCAGGTTAGCTAGTCTACTGTTCGCTGATCCAATGTTTGACACCTTCCTCAGAGCATTCTCATGTCTTGGTCAGCCATGTAAAATGCTCTTCTATTTTGTGGATAAACTTGAAAAACTCTTAAATGCTGAAACTCCAAACTGTGACCACCTCTGTCACACATATGATACAATGATGAAGGAGTTGTTCCCGTGTTCTGATGAGAATATACACGGCGCTGTATTTCAACAAGTAAAGGAGTACAAAATAATGTTAGAAAAAGCAGGGTCAAGGATCAAGGGTGGTGATAAGAGAGGTATTAAAGATTTGGGTAAGATCAAGAAACGACTAGGATCTGTGATCCAAAATCTTAAACCTCCCACCCAACTAAAGGACTACAGTCCCTGGCTCAGTGAATTTCAGGCTGGCAAACATAGTTCTTTGGAACTGGAGATACCTGGCCAGTACACGGGAGAAAGCAAGCCACTTATCCAACACCACATTAAGATTGCTGGCTTTAAGCAAACTGTAAGTTTAACCATGTATTTTTAAGATTTTTCAGTTATTTCTTTGGAAGGTTCACAACACATTTAAAGTGGTATGAAATTGTTCTAAAATTTTATATGCTCTTATTAGCACTCGTATTTTGTATTCAGGGGTCCTGTTATCAGTTCTTGGTCTAATGGCTGGATATTCTGACAGATTTTTTTGAGGTTTCTCCATTGTAATGAATTTAATAAATGGAGCTGTGCTGGTCATATGTATTCAGTATTGGTTTTGGTAACTGATAAAATTGTTTTAGTATATTGTTATATTAGATTCGAAGTGTAAACTGTACTCTAAATTCTTAATGTAACACTCAGAAAAATGTCATTTGGAAGAAAAACGTGAATTTAGAAAGGGCAGATAATATATTTATACTAGTTGCAAAAGACCACTGAAATTCAACAGGGAATAACTTCTTTAATATATTAATAACTTGTGTGCCTTTATTTCCTTTCCTGTGTCTTCCCTCATACTTTTATCTTGTTTCATTCTTTCCTCCACATTTCTTTCTCATCTCTTCTACATCCGTCTCCTTAGCACTAAAACCCATCCTTGTTACTGACCACATATATCTTATTTCATACATCACATCCCATTGTCTAAACCCAGTTATCTGAATATTTCACACTTCTTTCTTCAAGTAACTTAACAAATAATTAAACAGGATTATACCTACACTTTGTAACATAATAATGTCCAGTCTCCATCACACAGAATTTGTTCCATTGAAACTATTCTGCTCTATGTCATAATGAAATATCTTGAAAACCAAAAGACAGCATTACAAATTACTCCTTTGATCTCTTGTACAGAACATTTTGCCATCTAGCATCATTACCGAGAAACTTTTTATCTCAGCTATACTGTGTTATTCCCTGGTGTGGTTGCCATGTCTGAACCCTTTTCACCTGTAACAGCAAGGAAGCATATGTCAAATTGGCTTTTATATGTTAAAACAATTAATAGAATAAAGTATGGAATTTAATTTAGAAATGATTTAGTCTTTATAGATTTTTAAAGCTTTTTGATGAAATAAGCATAACTTATATAGAACATTATAGCGAAAAGAGATAACATATATCTGATTAAAGGGATTCAAAGTCTGTACCACAAAATGAAATCACATGCCAGGCAAAATTTCATATCAAAACAAAGATTGTAGGCAAGATTATAGAAGAAGTTTCACTTTCCAGTTGTCTGGGTTGTGATATGTCTTTTAAATATGACAAATATATAAACAATAATATGCATGAATTCCACTCAATATGTGGCACTTAAATTCCTGTGGCATTTCTACAGCTTTTTTTTTCCCGTGGCAATCAGTATAATTATTTATGGAGCAGTGTGTAACAGATTTACATCAATGCTCGTACAGTTATAGAAAGGACATTTATCATTCCAGGTTGAACATCAGAACTCAAAGACATTGCCTCTGCGGGTTACAATTTTTGGTAATGATGCCAAGGAACATCAGTATTTGGTCAAGTTTGGAGAGGATCTCCGTCAAGATCAGAGACTTGAGCAATTATTCATCCTAATGAATAAAATACTACACCAAGATCCTGCTTGCAGGCAAAGAAGCTTGTCAATAGCAACTTACCAGGTATTGAGAAATACAGGCTTATAGTTGCTTCAATTTCAATATCATTTTTGTGTCATGGAGGAGACAATGAGGGAAATGTAACCAATTTAATTGATATTATATAGCATCTTAATCACCTACTTGATTGTGAGCATCAGCTGTATACAGTAATTTGGATTAATAATGGGAAGCCCAAATTATACAAAACAATTATATGTAATAGTTCATAAAAACAAGCGTATCTGTTAACAATACAGCAACAGATGTTAACTTTAATGGTGGTAGGACATAAATATGAAGAAAAGATAATTTGACTCATAGTATCAAAGTTAGTGTATTGTCTCCAAGAGGAGGATATTTAATTTTCCATACCATGATTAGCAATTATGGAACAGAGTTCATATTTTGTCAAGTATATCAGTGGTATTCAACCTTTTTTATTCACGTACCCCCAGATATAATTTCTCTTCAACTTTATACCCCCAAAGTTGTTGGTGTATAATTCAAGTTATACATAGTATATAATATACATCTAAAATTAATTAAATAAATTACATTACTGATTATTCAGTGTTTATCATAAAATAATATATTTTTTTTTTAAATTTCACATACCCCCTAAGATGTCTTTGCGTACCCCCGGGGGTATGCGTACCCCAGGTTGAATACCACTGATGTAGAGCATGCTGAACACTTGCAGAGTATCTTAAAAATGAATAATACAAAGCATACCCAAAGTTAGCAGGAGTAATCATGTGGACATGCAAGCGTAGGCCTGGCAGATTGTGTAAATTGGTAACTATGAGAATAATGTTCTTGATGTAGGGTTTTTCTCATTTGGTGGTTTCCCTCCTTTTATTTCAAATCAATATACTGCAATTTCTGAATGCTGAAATAAATTTGTCGGAAGTTTATTTCTGATCTTTTTTGTCACTCCTTTTATGATACAGAGAATAAAGAAGACTGTGTGAATGTACCTTTAATTTCCACTGTAATACGCAAAGGGCAATTATGGCCAGAAGAGAACAGCAACTGTTTGAAGAGGTTAAGTTTCTTCTATTGAAAGTTTCATCAATTTTTATTTCTGAAGGTTAATGCATATGAAATATGTAATAAACCAGATATTAAACACAACTTTCTTTCAGGTGGTTCCTCTTACCACTCATCTTGGAATTATACAGTGGGTGGATGGCACTAAAGGTCTCAAAGATCTTATGCTGGGTGTTCTCGACCAAAGTGAGATGAAAATGTAGTAAGTTTAATCAGGATTTTACTCTTAAATCATGCCCTGAGTTGTGTAAAATTCTACATATTTGTGTGTATATCTCATTTTTTCAAGGCTCAAATTATATTAATTTAGGGCACTGTTTCTCAGCCTTTTCTAAATTATGACCCTTTCCCATGTCAACAAAAGTACAATAAAGCAATCCAGTTTTTATTTGCCGTGGTCCCATAGTAGCAACTGTTGGGTAACGGGAGGTTAATAAAACATAACAAGGAACTTCCGCGGTGTTGACATCGAAATTGAACGATACTGAAAATGAAGATGGTCGTATTCTTTGTGCTCACTGCTGTGAGAACCTCAAATCCTACTTAATACTGAAAATGTGCATTTAACAGCATTTATTTGTATGATTTTGGCAGGCCACGTAAATAATGGAGGAGGGGTTTATCTACTAATTAGCAACAGATCAGATTTGCACTGAGTAGTAATTCAATGAACTTCATTGTAATGAGCCATTCACACTTCATAATAAGATCTCGTCACCAATAACCGTGCAGCAGCAAGGGTGAGAGATGTAAAACTCTTGTGACATTTCTTTGTAATTCTAAGGCGGCTGTAAATGAGAATGTGTTTTAGCTGTGTAATTCTTTTTCAGCAAAATGTCCCATGTTGAATACATGAGATGGATATCTGAGGCAGCAAGGGCTCAGAAGGGTGATTATAAGGAACAGTACGGTGGGGCACACATGAAATACTCTCGAGATGAAACTAATGTTCACTTCAGAAAGATGGTGAATATGGTACCCTGGGACATCATGAGGTTTGTCAAATTTCAGATACCTTTCTGTAATACAGATGTTGCATACTTATATGTGAACTATTCTTATTTTTTTCTAGCATTGTTTTTATTTTATGTGGGTCAGTGGAAACTAAATGATTGCAAAGGAAAGTAACAGTGACATCTGCATGTAAGTTTTTGTTAAAAGATCCTTCTGTATACCCACATACTGAAGAGATTATTGTGTTACTAATTTTTACAAATTTGTGTCCGACATTATTTTAAGGTCTTTCAGTTCTCTAGGGTGACTTGCGGTATTTATGTTCTGAGGTGTATCCATGCAATTCTTCTGTATTTCAATATCTGGCAGATGCAAACGTGAATTTATTATGAAGTAAGAGACCTTAAGGTTTATATGCTAGTGGGAGCCACTAATATTAGATTTAATGAAAAGTAATTCAGGCAGAGTAGAGTTTTTTAAGTATGCAATATCAGTAGGCACCCCCCCCCCAACATATTTTAAATTCATACTTCAAATAAAGTTGGATTTGAGATTTTCATGGCAGTGAGTCCAAAGATGGAAGTCTTCTGGGTTGTTGCACAACAACCCAGAAGACAGCCATCTTCAAATAAAGTTAATGAAAGCTGGAATTAAAGCAGTTTCATACATGACCATTCAGTGCAGTAATGCTACCT